CAGTCCAGGACCCCAGCCTGCGAAATGTTGCCACTCAGGGTCTGTCCACCTCAAGAAACTCCCACCAGACATGCCCAGAGGCTTGTCTCCTAGGTGATTCTAAATCTTGTCAAGTTGACAATATTAAACATCATACCATCTTAACCCATTTAGTCCAGGACCCCAGCCTGTGAAATGTTGCCACTCAGGGTCTGTCCACCTCAAGAAACTCCCCACCAGACATGCCCAGAGGCTTGTCTCCTAGGTGAGTCTAAATCTTGTCAAGTTGACAATATTAAACATCATACCATCTTAACCCATGCTATGTCATGAACGAGAGCTTCATCCTTCCCATTGTTCAGGCCCAAACCCTGACATCATTCTTTTTCTTTTTATGTGTGTATGAGTGTTATGCCTACATGTATGTAAGTGCACCTGTGTCGTACAATGCCCACAGAGGACAGAAGAGGGTCTCGGATCCCCTGGAACTGGAGTTACAGATGGTTGTCAGCCGCCATGTGGGTGCTGGGATTCAATTCAGGTCTTCTGGAAGAGCAGCCAGTGCTCTTTACCACCGGGTCATCTCTCCAGGCCTCTACATCATTCTTAACGCCTCTCCTTTTACACTCCACACACAGCCTATTGCCAGATCCCACTGGCTGATCTTTCAGATTCCCACCACAGCCATTGCTGTAGTCCAGACCCTGCAGCACCCATCCCCAACCTCCCACTTCCACTCCCACATTCGGCTTTCCCACAGCAGGGCAACGAGTGACCGTTACAAAAGTCAGCAGTCCTTTGCTCAGACTCTTTCAGCATAAGCCAAAGGCCTTCCACTGGCTGTCAAGGCCCTGGCCATGTATCCTCAGCCCACATACCTGCCTAGCTTTCTCCCCTCGTTCCCTACCCATACCTCTATTGGTCTTCCTGCAGCTTCTCAATCACACCAAGTGTGGTGCCCTCCCTTCTAGGCACTCTGCCCTCTGCTCCTTCTTAGATCTGGAATGTTCTGCCCTGAGACAGCTGGCACAAGGCCTTGGCTCTCACGTCATCTTCTCAGTCAGCCACCCTGATCTCCCTTCAGCCTCAGCCCTACCTTTGCCCCCTTCCCTGCTTCATCTTCTCCTCAGCAAGCACCTATGAACCCATGAATGCTTCTTTCTCCTCCTGTAGACTGTAAACTGTTAGAGCACTGTGATGGTTAATATTGAATGTCAATTTGATAGGGCCCAGAATCACTGAAGAGACAAGCTTCTAGGCATGTCTGTGAGGGATTTTTCTAGATTAGGTTAATTGAGGTGGGAAAATCCACTTGGAATGTGAGCAGACTAATCCATGGGCTGAGGTCCCAGACTGAATAAAAAGGAGAGAGCAAGCTGAGTATAAGAATTCATTGCTGGGGCTGGAGACATGGCTCAGTGGTTAAGAACACTGGTTGTTCTTATAGAAGACCCAGGTTCGAATCCCAGCACCCACATGGCAGCTAACAGCTGTCTGTAACTCCAGTTCCAGGGGATCCGATGGGCTCTTCTGTCCTCCACGGGCATTGCACGACATGGGTGCACTTACCTACATGCAGGCAATACACTCATACACATAAAATAAAAACAATAAATAAAATATTAAACAACAACAAAAAAAGAATTCATTGCTCTTGGGCTAGAGAGATGGCTCAGCAGTTAGGAGCACTGACTGCTCTTTCAGAGGACCTGAGTTCAGCACCCACATGGTGACTAACAACCATCTATAACTCTAGTTCCTGGGGCTCCAGTGCATTCTTCTGGTCTCCCTGGGCTTTGCACACATGTGGTACACTTACATACGTGCAGGTAAAACATTTATACACATAAAATTTTTAAAAATTAAAAAAAAATCACATGGGTGTGGTGCCATGCATACCTTTAATCCCAGCACTCAGAGGCAGGCGGATCTCTGTGAGTTCGAGGCCAGCCTGGTCTACATAGTAAGTTCCAGGCCAGAGGGGGGTTCTGGGAGATCCTGTCTCAAAAAGACCAAAAAAAAAAAAAAAAAAGAAATCCTATGATACAGATAAAAACTATGAAGCCAGTTGGGCTTGGTGGCGCATGCCTTTAATCCCAGCACTTGGGAGGCAGAGGCAGGGGGGGGTTCGTGAGGTCCAGACCAGCCTGGTCTACATAGTGAGTTCCAGGCCAACTGGGGCTACAGGGAGATCCTATCTCAAAAAAAAACGAAAAAAACCCAAGACATTGCTCTCTGTCCTGACTACAGATACGTGAGCCACTGTCTCACACCCCTGCCTCCATGCCTTCCCTCCATGATGGACTGCACCAACTATAAGCCCAAATAAACCTTTCCTTCCTTAAGTTGCCTTCATCAGGCATTTTGTCACAGCAACTAGGCCAGGAGCTAATACAGGCAGGTTTTTATTTTCCTTTTGTTATTCTGTGCAGCACCTTTGCTATCCAGATCAAGTGTCTAGCACAGAGCAGGTATTCAGCAATCTTTAGAAGAATGAACACGAGACTCCCCCTGGCTTTCACTCATTTCCAACTCTGAGATTTATAATTGATCATTATCCTCAAATGAGACTGGGTAATCCTTGTAAGATTTTGAAGACAAAGGTATTGTGCAAACACTTTTTGTTGTTTTATGTATCTACCCAACTTGTTTCTCAATGGACAAGGAGTGGCACTGGTCAAGACTACCATGAGGCTCTGAGACACTCAGCCTTCTTCTGCTGTCTCTCCTGCAGGAGGCAGAAAGGAGAGGTCAGTCTGAAAGAGCAGAGACCACAGGAATTTTTCACATTTAACATCTTTTAGTGTTTTTGCTTATTTAAAAAATAATACTGATTTCTCAGGGATTAAAGAAAAAAACAAACCATGGAAGACTTTCTGAACATGGGGGAGACAGGGAGGGCCATGGGGAAGACAAGTGTGAATTAAGGGGAGACAGATGGGACAATGGCAAGACATGTGTCAACAGAAAGACAGGTGTGAAGATAGAAGGCAGGTGTGAACAGGAGGAAAGTGGGTGGGAAGACGTGAACGTGAAGATGGGTGCAAACACGGGGAAAACAGGTATGAACCTGGGAAGGCCAGTGGGAAGGTAGGAAGGAAGGTATGAAGGCAGGCTCGACCCTGGTTGCAT